GGAGCAGCTGGGACTCGAACCAGTGCCCATATGGAATGCTGGTGCCACAGGCGGCGCTTCACCCGCTACGCCACAGCGCCGGCCCCATGAAAGCATTTTAAATGTATTTTAAGATGCACACACACAGCCTTTGACCAGCTGAGATTTAAAACAACCTTAGGGCCCCATGCAATCCGCAGCAGGAAGTGGCTGGTGACGGCAGAGCTTTCTCCACGCAGCCGTTCCTCCCCGAAGCCCGTTTAGATGTGGCCATGAGGGATCAGCAACCAGGAAGAGCTTCTGAGTGGGAGCTTCAGGGAGCTACGGGGAACAATGGCCAGAGGCCCCTGCTCCACAAATCAGGCAGGGCCGAGGGCTTTGCCCCCTGCCTCTTGGACCTCTCCCCACTTGGCTTTTCCGAAAGGGGTCAGAGCTGAGGTTGTCCTTCTCTTGCTCCACAGTGAACACTGGGTGTTTGTGAAATGAGCGAGACTGAGCGGGCTGTAGTGACTGGGGGCGTGTGGGGGAGCGCTGAGTACACTCTGTGAGGAGAAACCCGTGTTGGCTCAGAGGCACACTTGGACACACAGCCATGTTCGTGTCTTCTTGAGCCCACAGCAGACTTCACTTCCTAGTAGGGCTGCCACATTTACCAGATGAAAGTATAGGGGGCCTGGCGCTGTGGCGTAGTGGGTAAAGCCACCTGCAGTGCTGGCATCCCATATGGATGCCAGTTCGAGTCCCAGCTGCTCCACTTCTGATCCAGCTCTCTGCTATGGCCTGGGAAAGCAGTAGAGGATGGCCCAAATCCTTGTGCCCCTGCACCCATGTGGAAGACCTGGAAGAAGCTCCTGGCTTCAGATCAGCACAGCTTTGGCTGTTGCAGCCAACTGGAGAGTGAACCAGCAGATGGAAGACCTCTCCTTCTCTCTCTATGTAACTCTTTCAAATAAATAAATCAAAAAAAAAAAAAAAAAAAAAGAAAGAAAATATAGGAGAGGGCAAGCATCATGGCACAGCAGGCTGAGCTGTTACCTGTGATGTCAGCATCCCAATAGGGCACCAGTTCAAGTCCCGGCTGCTCCACTTCCTATCCAGCTCCCTGCTGATGCACCTGAGAAGGCGTCAGAGGATGGCCCCAGGAGTGCTAGGTCCTCTGACACCCATGTGGGAGACCCAGATGAGGCTCCTGGCTCCTGGCCTTGGCCTGGCCAGCCCAGGCCATGGTGGCCTCTTGGGGAGTGAACTAGAAGATCCCTCTCTCTATTCCCCCCTCTCTCTTTCTATAACTCTGCCTCCAGATAAAAAAAAATACATAAATATTTTAAAAAGCAAAAATAAATAACTGTGTGGAGATAGTATTTTTTTAAAAGTCGGCACTTGCTCAGTAGACGTAACTTCTTTCTTCCAGATATTTCCGATTCACAGTCGATTGAATGCACAGATGTGGAGCTCAAGGACGCGGATGCTTGGAGACTGCGCGGCTCAGAGCTTCGAGCTCGCACGCAGCAGAGCTGAGCTTGGGGCTGGTTTCAAACACGGCGTCTCGGAATGGTAGCACCTCTGCTTCCGGCCTTAGCTTTCAACCCCTGCCTACCCTCCAGAGCCCAGCTCCGCTACTGGGTCATTTCAGGGACCCCAGGTGGCAAGGACCTGCCGCCCCGTGTGGGTTTGGAGTACCTGCTTACGTTTCCCTAAGTGTACAAGAAAACAGTTGTCTCTGGTGAGAAGGCCAAGCAGAGGGGCACTGAGCAGGAAGCCTGTTCTTCACTCTGCAGGATGCCTCTCCTCTTCCTAGGTTCGCGGTTCTGTGTCTGCCAGCCACTGAGACAGTCATCTGTTAGGAGGCAGAGCTGAGACGGCGCAGTCCCCTGCAGCGGGCCCAAAGAATCAGTTTTCAATTCCTTGAGCCTGTACACAAGGCATTTTCAGATGAAGGGGAGGAACTGTTCAAAACAAACAAAAAGGGAGTGACTTTTTTTCCAGGAGGACTGGTAAAGGCATGCCAAACACCTCATCTCCTCCCACCTCCATTAGAGAACAAAAAGCTTCGGGCAGGCCGGTGAAGGTCTGGTTTCTGTTTTAGCAGGGTCTCAGAAGGAAATGACTTCTCTGAAACCGTAGACGCCCAACCCAGCTGCGGCATTGTTAGACCTCAGGGTAAACAGGAAGCTTCCTGCCTCGGCCCTTCATGTCCCTCTCCCAGACTGAGACTGTTCAAGGATGGTAAAAGGACAGCTGCCGGCCATAAAACCGGCCCATTCCTTAGATCCCTAGAAAGCAGCAACCGATCTCCAAGGTTGCAGAGAAAACGGCAACAGCTACTGCCCTGACTGTCCGAGGCGCGACCACCTAGCCCGGGCCCCAGGCCTTGGAATCGCTTGTTTTGGGGGACGATGAGATACAGCACAAAGGCTGTGCTGAGACCGCCACGGCAGGGAAATCGCGCCTACCCTATGCAGCTTGAGTCGCCTTTTCCAGTAGGGAACACTCTGTCCTCATTATGTCCCAACACCAGGCAAAGAGGAGCCTCCGAGAGCAAAGAACCTCACGCTGCTAAGGGAGAGCTGGGATGGGACCCCCAGCTCCCCTGCATGGGGTGGGGGCAGGGGAGGCCTGGGACTTGCAGCTGTTGCTGAGGGAGAGAGCGGTGCGACCAGCGGGAGGGACACTAGGGCAGGGGTGATAAGCTTTTGCCAACAAGGGCACTCAGTGTCTTGGCAGGAGACAGAAGGCTGTCCCCCCGACTCCGTGTATGTTTTCAGAAGCAATTGACTCTGGACCAAACTCTCAGCTGTGCTGGTGCTGCGGGGAGGGCCGGGAGACGCCGGCTGGCTGGGCTGAGCGCACTGTCCAACACAGGGTGCTGGGGCTCAGCCAGGAGCTGCCCTTTGGCTGGCAAGTTGCGCTTTCTGTCATGGTTGGTCGGAGGGAGTGTGGCCAAGATTCCAGTTCTCAGGACTCCCAGAAGCTGCTCATGATTGTCCATCTGTTTTGAAGAGCTTCTGCCGAGTGGAATTTTTGGCTCAAATGGGAACGAGAGGTGATGAGACAAAGCCGAACTCTTACCTGACTCAAGGGATGGACAAAAACAGCCCAGCAGGGTCAAGGTCTCACTGCACTTACTGTGCCTATCCGAGGGGCCTGGGGGCAGGCAGAATATCTGGTTTACGGACTGGTGCTGCCACGTTGGCTGCTCTGACCTGGGTCTACCAATCAAGCAGGCACAAGCTCTTGGGATGCCAGGAAAACCTGTCACCTTAGGAAACTGACGCAGGACAGAACGCCTTACCGCCAGATGTCCCTGCGTCCCCCCCAAACGGAAGATGACGTCAGTCACTCCTCAGTGCTGTATCGAGGTGGAGGGCGAGTTTTTTCTAACTGCCGAAAGCAGAACTGGAGACACTTTCTCCTGATACCACGTGTTTAAGCCTCTACCTAAGTGTTTAGACAGATGATTCTGTTGTTTAAGCATCTGAAAGGGAACTACAAAAGATTCTATAGCTCACCACTACCTGCTAGTAATAGTATCATTTAATTAGATAATGAAGGGGCCAATGCTGTGGCTTGGTAGGTCACCACTGTGGTGCCGGCATCCCATATGGGCGCCAGTTTGAGTCCCAGCTGCTCAACTTCCATCCAGCTCCCTGCTAATGTGCCTGGGAAAACAGAAGACAGCCCAAGTCCTTGGGCTTCTGCTCCCTCATGAGAGACCTGGAAGAAGCTCCTGGCTTTGGACGGCCCCGTTCCTAGCCGTTGTGGCCATTTGGGGAGTGAACCAGCAGATGAAAAATTCTCTCTCTGTAACTCTGCCTTTCAAATAAATAAGTAAATCTTAAAAAAAAATTGGGGGGCTGACACTGTGGCACAGTGGGTTAACGCCCTGGCCTGAAGCACCGGCATCCCATATGGGTGCCAGTTTGAGTCCTGGCTGCTCCTCTTCCAATCTAGCTCTCTGCCAGATGGCCCAAGTCTTTGGGCCCCTACACCCACGTGGGAGACCCGGAGGAAACTCCTGGCTCCTGGCTCCAGATCGGCGCAGCTCCGGCCATTGCGGCCATCTATGGAGTGAACCAGCAGATGGAAGACCTTGCTCTCTGTCTCTACCTCTCTCTGTAACTCTGTCTTTCAAATAAATATTAAAAAAAAAAAAAAAAAAAAAAACTGGTGTTGGCAATTTAAAAAATAGATAATAAAATATCATTTCCCCTATTTTTTTTAAAGATTTATTTTATTTATTTGAAAGACAGAGTTACAGAGAGGTAAAGAGAGAGGAAGGTCTTCCATCTGCTGGTTCACTCCCCAGATGGCTGCAATAGCCAGAGCTGTGTCGATCCAAAGCCAGGAGTCAGGAGCTTCTTCCTGGTCTCCCACGCAGGTGCAGGGGCCCAAGGACTTGGGCCATCTTCCACTGCCCTCCCAGGCCACAGCAGAGAGCTGGATTGGAAGAGGAGCAGCCAGGACTAGAACCGGCACCCATATGGGATGCCAGCGCTTCAGGCCAGGGCGTTAACCCACTGTGCCACAGCACCGGCCCCATTTCCCATTTTTAGAGGCTCTGAAAACCCTCCCCCCAGGTCACACACCAGAATCTGGGGCTCCTGCAGCATTCTTACCCTTTTTACCCCAGGTAATCCAAATTCTTTTTTTTTTTTTTTTTTTACAGGCAGAGTGGACAGTGAGAGAGAGAGACAGAGAGAAAGGTCTTCCTTTGCCGTTGGTTCACCCTCCAATGGCCGCCACGGCCGGTGCGCTATGGCCGGTGCACCGCACTGATCCGAAGGCAGGAGCCAGGTGCTTCTCCTGGTCTCCCATGGGGTGCAGGGCCCAAGCACTTGGGCCATCCTCCACTGTACTCCCGGGCCACAGCAGAGAGCTGGCCTGGAAGAGGGGCAACCGGGACAGAATCCGGCGCCCCGACTGGGACTAGAACCCGGTGTGCCGGCGCTGCAAGGCGGAGGATTAGCCTATTGAGCCACGCCACCAGCCCCAAATTCTTTTAATAATTCATTTACTGCATGTGTAATAAAAAGTTGTTTAATTTGCTTGTTTTTGTAAAATTTTTTCATATAAATAAACGCATAATTCATGGGAAAAAATAATCAGAAACAATGTCCATTTAGAAAAGATGTTATTACAGCCACTCCACAGTTCAGGCCTGCACCACGCGTATGGACTGGCACCAACAGCTAGAGCTTTTGATGAAGTTTGCATTTACATTGATCAGGGATCAGCAATAGGTTTAGCGCTGTCTTCACTATGCTGGCTCAAGACAGATTCAGGTGTGTGCTTCAAACTTGAAATAAGGTCTCCTCACGTAGAGCCCAAACGGTCACTCTAAAACCTGCCCTGACCAGCGCCAGAAGGGGCTCTCGAGTGACTCCCACTTCTCAAATTCCTACCCAGCATCAGGGCGTGAGAGGGCTCGAACCGTCACGACTGCCAGCAGCGCAGGCACGCCCCATGTACAGTCTGACTTTCAGGTCTCTGGGTTAAGCCTCCAGCATGGCCCTTCGGAGTCCAGGTCAAGTCCAAGGCAGGAAGTTGCAATGCAGGAGTAGTCCCAGGAGCCAGTAAGTCAGGAAGTAGCCTAGAATGTAGCGTGTGACTGGAGAACAGGTTTTCCAGTTGTACAAAAGTCCCACGATAGAATTTCTGGGGACCATCTGTCCTGGTGGGAAGTCCCCCGCAGGAGGCTTCCATGGCACAGTCTCCTGGGATCTCAACAGTGGCTCTTGATCCTGAAGCAAGTGGGCTGGAAACCAGTACATGATAGGAGTGGAGGAGCCCAAAAACCTGGTGAGAACCTAGAAATCATAAGAGGAAAACCCACAGATTTACTGGATGGTCACTGACTCAAACTGGACCAGCCTGGAGGCTGCTTCTGCTGGGTGAGTGATGGCCTCACGACTAGGAATGTTGCGCTAGGCTGGAAAAGCCTTCAGCAGAGCTTACGATCTGCCTCATAAAGACACGTGTAACAACAGCCAGGCTACCACCATCTTCCAAACATGGCTGTGGACTCATTACCAAAATGGGCCAATCAGCATTAAAAACTCTACAGCGTTTAATTTTAGCCCAGGGCCTGGACTCAACTCTAGATGTGACTTGAGAGCTTGGGAACCCAAGGTGGTTGCCTTAGCCCATAGGGATGGCCAAGGAGAGGGAGAGAAGAAGGGGGCCCTGGGATTGAACACTGTCCCTGCTAGGGGAGCCCAGAGCCACGTCTCCAAATGGCCTCCCTCATCTAACCTGTGCTGGCAGGCACTCTGGTAGCTAATCCAGCTACCAACACAGCTCAGAGAACATCACAGTCAGGTGTGCCTCCAGGAGGCAGAAACTGCGAGAGAGACCAGCAGGGGCACAAAGAACTTCCTCAGGGTCATGCTGAAACCGACCACAGCCAAGAACAGAAAGTCAGGTCTAACTCCCCGTCCCTCTATCACAGCCCCCCCGACCCGACACCCCCTCTGAACACTGGGCGGCTGCTTGGGCTCAGAGGACCTCTCCGAGGCTCATTCAAGAAGCCAGCAAGGGGACGGTTACACACTAGGCAGGTGCCAGAGACAGACGCTGGGCTGCTTCTTGAGGCTCGACTGCATTAGGTCCCGTCATCACCCTGTGTCTTGGCCCCTCCACTGCTTCTCGACGCTGGCGCCTCACACCGCTCTGCCACCCAACACTCCCCTGCTTCTTAAACGGAAAACTCCTACGTTCTCTTCAGGACACAGGTAATAAGATGCCTTCCTCAGTGCCTCGTGGGTTCACATCTCCCTCTTTGCTGCCACAAAACCTGAGTGTTTTTAAAATCTCCCAACAGCAACCCCTCTCATCCTCCTGTACCGTGACTTTACCTGTCAAATGTCTGCCGTTATATACCACAAGACCCACTAGGGCTTCAATTTTCTTACTCATGTTCCATCTGGCATGAAGAAAACCCCTAAATAGCTGCTGAATGATAAAACCAGCGACGGGTCACCCACGTGGGGGCCGGCTCGGCCTGCTGCACGCCCCCCCCCCCCCCGAGGGGCCCAGCGCACCTGGACGTGCATGCACAGCCATCCGAACAGCAGCAGCACTGACGCGTGCACCACGTACACAAACACCTGAGGACTGAGGAATCCGGCATCCGGCTTCTCGAGGCTCTCACTATTCTTGATCCTTCGAAGGCCAAGTGTAAGGCAGAGCCAAGGGTGGGTGGTCACGTATGTCCAAGCTGCCCAGGCAACCAGAAAAGCCGCTGGTGCAGCCAGTAGAAAATTGGGCAGCTGCTTGAGCTCATAGTACCTCAAAAAGCCAACATTCCAGTAGACATCCTGGATATAGCTGTATACTAGGGGAAGGTCCCAGGAACACCAAGGGGGCTCGTGTCCCCCTGCAATCCGATAGCCCTTGTCTGTGGCCAGCTGCACCAAGGGCTTAGGGATGGGGAGGACTGTGCCTGGCAGGCAGAACTGGCTGTAGGCATAATACTGAAAGAGCGCGAAGGGAAGGCTGACTGTGAGCACGGACAGCAGCACGGAGGCCCCCAGCTTACAAAGCTGTCTCGGCAGACTCCGCACCCCCAGAGCAGAGCAGAAGCCTCGGCACTGAGAGTGCACGAGGAAGCCAGCGCTGACCAGCCCGTTGGAGCGGACGCTGGTGGCAAGGGCGAAGAGGAGTCCGCTCGTCCAGACCCGGCCCCGCTCCAGCTGCCCCATGGCACTGAAGGTCAGGAGAGCAAACAAAGCTTCCGAGTAGCCGGCCGCCAGGAAGACGCTGGCGGGGCTGAGGCAGAAGAGCAGCGCTGCACACAAGGCCTGGCGGGGACAGTGCAGCACCTGACAGCCCAGGTCATGCAGTGCGACTGCGGCCAGCACAGAGAACAAGGAATTGAGCAGTGCTACTGAAATCAGCAGGCAACTGCGCAGGCTCAGGAACCCCCGCAGGGGTCTCAGCACTTCAGTCCCCAGCAGCAGGGCCAAGGGGAAGCCAGGGAAGAAGGCGAAGTTGTGCTCATAGAGGTAACCGTGCTCGGCAATGAACAGGAAGTGCTCAGCATCCCAGCGAGACAGGCCGCCCAGGAGACCTTCCACAAACTGGTCCACGCAGCCCGAGGGGGCCAGGCGAGGAGGAGCGAACGCTTCGGCGTGGTGATCTGGGATGATGGCATTGAAGAGAGCCTGTGGGGTAAAGGAGAATCAGGATGTTAACTGAAAGAAAATAATAATTACCATTTAATAAAATGAGGAAGAACAGACTTGTTGGGGGGAGGATGATGAGCTTGAGTCTGGATTAGTTAGCTTTGTGTTCCTGTCATGTAAAAGTCAACTGGATGGGCCCAGCACTGTGGCTTAATGGGTTAAGCCGCTGCCTGCAATGCCAGCATCCCATATAGGTGCTGGTTCAAGTTCTGGCTGCTCCACTTCTGATCCAGCCCCTTGGTAATGCACCTGGGAAAGCAGCAGCAGATGGCCCAACTCCTTGGGAATCTGTACCCATGTGGGAGACCAGATGAAGTTCCGGGCTTCTGCTTGGCCCAGCCCTGGTCATTGTGGCCATTTGGGTAGTGAACCAGCAGACAGATCTCTCTCACCTTCTGTCTGTAACTGCCTTTCAAATAAATAAATCTCGAAAAAAAAAAAAAAGTTGATTGGACAATGAGAGATAGGAGTCTTTGAGTCAGAAGAGAGATCAGGGCTACAGACATAAGTTTGGGAGTCATAAGTGCATAGACAGAATTAAATAATTTCTATTTACTTATAGATAAAGTGGGAGAGAGAGAGAAATCTTCTATCCATTTATTCATTACCCAAATGGCCACAAAAGCCAGGGCTCAGCCAGGCCAAAGCCCGGAGGCTGGATCTCCATCTGGGTCTTCCACTGAGATGCCAGGGACTCAAGTACTTGAGCCACCACCAGCTGTTTCCCAGGCACATTAGCAGGGAGCCGGATCAGAAACAGAGCAGCCAGGACGAACTAGAACTCCCACATGGGGTGCTGCTGTGCCACCACACACACTCTGAACACACGGACAGATTTAAGGGCGTGAAACTGATCGGGATCACCTGAGGAATAGATGAAGAAAACATCTAGGCGTTGGCACTATAGCGTATCGGGTAAGGCAACCGCCTGCAGTGCCGACATCCCAATTTCCCATATGGGCGCTGGTTCGAGTCCTGGCTGCTCCACTTCTGATCCAGCTCTCTGCTATGGCCTGGGAAAGCAGAAGATGCTCCAAGTCCCTGGGCCCCTGCACCCACGTGGGAGACCCGGAGGAAGCTCCTGGCTCCTGGCTTTGGATCGGCAAAGCTCCGGCTGTTGTAGCTATTTGGGGAGTGAACCAGCAGTTGGAAGACCTCTCTCTCTACCTGTGCCTCTCTGTAACTCCTTCAAATACATAAATCTTGAAGAGGAGGAGGAGGAAGAGGAGGAAGAGGAAGAAGAAGACATCTGAGAACTGAACCCTGGCCGGCGCCACGGCTCAATAGGCTAATCCTCCGCCTTGCGGCGCCGGCACACTGGGTTCTAGTCCTGGTCGGGGCGCCGGATTCTGTCCCAGTTGCCCCTCTTCCAGGCCAGCTCTCTGCTGTGGCCAGGGAGTGCAGTGGAAGATGGCCTAAGTCCTTGGGCCCTGCACCCCATGGGAGACCAGGATAAGTACTTGGCTCCTGCCATCGGATCAGCGCGGTGCGCCGGCCGCAGCATGCCAGCCGCGGAGGCCATTGGAGGGTGAACCAACGGCAAAGGAAGACCTTTCTCTCTGTCTCTCTCTCTCACTGTCCACTCTGCCTGTCAAAAAAAAAAACAAAAACAAAAAAAACAAAAAACACTGAACCCTGAACATGTCAACATTTAGTGGCCAGAAAGTGGGTGAGGATCCAGCAATGATGCAAAATAAAGGAACAGTCAGTGAGGACGGGGAAACCCAGATCAGCCAAGTGAAGCAATGGAAGGAGCGATTTTGCTCCACGCTGCTGACAGGTCAAGTTAAGATGCGGACTGAAAACTGACCACTGGATTTAGCAGTGTGGAGGTCACTGGTGAATCTGGCAGAAGCCATTCGGTGGAGTGGAGACGAACCTGCCTGCACTGGGTACAGCAGAGGGCAGATGAAGGGAACTGCAGACAGTGCGTGCACACGGCTTTGAGGAGTTTGGCTGTAAAGGAGAGTGGAGAAATGTGGTCAGCAATGAGGGTCAAGGGAAAGTTTGCTCTTGAAAGGTAAGAGGTAAGTGTGTGCCAGTGAGGAGAACCCCTGCAAGCATGCGGAGACGGGGAGAATGATGCCGTCTGCTGCAGAGGGGGAGGGGCAGGCCCGAGCAAGAGGACGGCAGTGCAGTCAAGCCCCAGAGGGAAGGCACAGAGGGCAGCAGGCTGAGGGAGGAGGTGGCCATCAGAAAGTCTCTTCTAATGCCTTCTGTTTTTCTGAGTTTTCATTCAAAGTGAGTATCGAGAAAAAGTTGTTACCAATTTGAGGAAAGAGGAAAACTGTTTAAAGTAAGTCAACTTATGCCCTTTGTTCCCAGCATGGGCTGTGGAATTACCCAGGGAGTCTGAAAAAATACTGATACCTGGTCTCTCCTCTAGCGTTAATGATTTAAACAGAATGGGGTACAGCCTGGGCACTGGAATTTTTTTTTAAGATTTTATTTATTTATTCGCGAGGAAGAGTTACAGACAGGGAGCTTCTTCCAGGTCTCCCACGTGGGTGCAGAGGCCCAAGCACTTGGCCCATCTTCCACTGCTTTCCCAGGCCAGAAACAGAGAGCTGGATGGGAAGAGCAGCAGCCGGAACATGAGGTAGCGCCCACACGGGTTGCTGGAGCCGCAGGGAGAGGCTTAGCCTACTATGCCACAGTGCTGGTCCCTGGGCATTGGAATTCTTAAAAAACTCCCCCAAGGTGATTCTGATCAACAGAAAAATTTGAGAGAATGGGAAAGTTAATGAACTAAAGCAATATGGTAAGACTGCCAGAAAGCACTTGGCTTAGTGATCTTGAATAAAAAGATGAGTTGGTACAGCTGGGTGTTCTTCTCTGGGTGGACGCAGACATAGGGTAGGCAGGTAACTGGATTCAGCCAAGGTCAGGCTTTTGTATTGTGAATAAGACACCAGAAGCGGGTGCAAGAGACAGTACGTATGCCTGGAAACGACAGACCTGGAGTTTCAGCTGGCTCCGAAGTGGAGGTACAGCCATGCGGCTGGTGAGGGACGGTGAAATGGTGGCAGGATCAATGCATTATAAATCCTGAGAAGGTGGAAGAATGGTTAGAACTAGGTACCAGAGGAGGTGAGCTGTAAACACAAGGAGATAGTAGCCGGAGAAAGCGATGCCTGAAATTGAGATTAGCATCACCAGCATCCCATATCAGAGTGCTGGTTATAGTCCCGCTGGTGCACCTGGAAGGGGGAAGATGCTGGCCCAAGACCCACATGGAGTTCCTGGCTCCTGGCTTCAGCCTGGCCCAGACCTGGCTGTTACAGCCACTTGGGGAGTGAACCACACGATGGAAGATCTCTGTCTATCCTTCACTTTCTGCCACCCTGCCTTTCAAATAAATAAATAAATAAATCTTTCCAAAACAACTGAGCTTTGGTAGGGGTTGGGAATATAGAGAATGATGAGAACAAGAGCAACAGAAGAGAACAGGATAAGGAAATTGGAGACCAGGGCACCAGATCCATCATCTTCATCAATACTGAAACCACTAAAAAATCAACAGAAGCATTGCTGGAAAGAGCTACAGTGAACCGGAGCTAAAGCCTTCAAGGAAGAGCTGTGAGTGACAGACAAGAGGACAACAATGAAGGTGCCTCAGAATACAATCTGATGGCATAAGCTTTAAAGCTGGAAGCGGGGTGGAGAGAGGACGTGAGAATGAAATAGCACTTCCTATTACACAAATGTCTTTGTGCCCCATTCGACTGTCAGCTTCCTAACAGTAAAAAGCTCATGACTTTTTACACTTACCATGTAGCACAAGTCTTAGAGCACTACAGGTAGTTACAGTCTTGGTGGTTGGGCAAATGCACTGTTTCCAACAGCCTCATATGAATGAGAACCCGGCTGTCCCGGCCTCACAGCCCACGTGCGGACTCGCAGAACTGCTCCTGTGGCTCTCCAGTAACTCAGCTCACGCCGGTTTGGAGCCATCGCGGAGTCAGGCTCCTCCCTAGCCTGGCAACAGGAGCACGTTTTTTTAAGGCTCTTTATCTTTTTGGTCAGTTTCCTTATCTCAGGCCACTTCAAACAATGAAAGCAAATGGGTTGGAGTGACAATCACAGATAACAGCCCTAGGCTCCAACTTGAAAACACTGTTTAACTAAACCTGGAACCCAGCAGGGGGAGGAGGGAAGGAAGGAGCTTTCCAGGAAGGAAGCAGCCCTGAGCGTCGGAGAGCTAGGTCTTGGTAAGAGGCACAGAGCTACGTTCATATAGCATCTCTGTGGGGTACACACCATTCAACACTATTCATGCACTCAAGAACATAAACTGAGGACATACTAAGGAAGAGACACTTGGTAAGACACTGAGGAATTCAAATGGATGTGAAGTTTGATTAAAATACATATTAAGGGAGTTGCAAAAGGGCAGCTGCACTGGGGACTGCGTGTGGGTGAGGCAGCGAGGGGACACTCACCGCTGAAGAACACCCATGGCGGTCATCCCACGTGCACGGGGCCACCCCCCACACTCGGCTGGCTGGCACAGGGCTCAGTCTCCTGTAAGCATGTCCAGGGTGATGCTCTGAGCTGTCACACCCTAAAGGCCTGATTACAGACTGTCAGGGTCTGTGTAAAGATCAGTAGCTCAGGAGCAGGGAACACTAGGGTCTAACTTTGGTGCTTCTCCACCTCACTAAGTGGCTTTGGGAAAGTCACTTAGCCTTTATGGGTCTCTGCGGGGTAAAACAGGTGTAAGTAAATCAAGGTACTAACAAGATCCCTGCCCACTTTCCAACTATAAAGTCTGTGCCTCTATGATTCCAGCCACGGCGGGGCACACCTGGGAGGTGACAGTAGATGGGGACTGCTTTTTGTGCTGGAGCAGACACGCAGCCCGGGCGTGCTCAGGACGGAAGATCAGACACTGACCTGCAGCACCAGAGTCAGAACACGGCAGCTGACCGCAAACCGCAGCACCTCTCTCCGGGACGGGTCCAGGGGCCACATCCTGTAACCACCAGGAATCCAGCAGTGTGGCTACCAGCACTGAGCTCCCTCGGCCTCCCAAACTCTACAACCAAGAAGGAAAAGGTCACACGCGGGCCGAGGGCAAACCACTGAGAAAATCCTTCACAGGAAGCTCCCCCTTCAGTGTTCCTGCAGCACAGCTAACCGGGCAACTGCCCAGATGACGGGAGGCAGAGGGCACCCCTGGGTGTCACTCAGGGGCATTGTGCACGTCAGGGGAGTTCCACACAGAGAAGCATGAGGCTGGACTGCTAAGCTCTCAGAACTTGAGACGGCTGAGCTCCTCTGCAGGAACCGCAGGGCGTAGTTCAAGTCCAGACTGCCACTTGCCAGTTCTCAGTCTCTCGGAGCCTCAGGTCTCTGTATAAAACAGGATCAGACCCCTCCCTGCAACTTCTCAAAGTTGTCATGCTGGTGAAATGGACTCGAGTGTGCAGAGCCACACAAATCCACGCTGCGGCTGCTGTTATCTGGCGAGCGCCCTCTCCCTCATGCCCAGAATAATACACGAGCTCCCAAACCAGACTCCCAAAAGTGGGGCACAGGACTGTTCCGGAAGACCACAATGACTGCACGCTCGAGCCCAGCTCTCTGATGTGTGTTCAGCTGGTCTGTAAAATTAAGTGGAGAAGGAAAAGAAAACCGCCACTCAGCAGGACTTCGGCCAGCTCACATGGCTAAAACAAACCTAGGGGGAAGACCGAGCCGACTACCAGATGGAGAAAACTCACTTCCCGCCTCTCTGTCACCACGGCAGCAACTATCAACAACTGCAAAGCCAGTCCGAGGCAAGGAATGACCTTTAGGACATTGCTAACAACTCCTTAAGAAACAGCAATAGTTCCTGCAGAATTTTGGAACGTCGGCCTGGGAAGCGAGGAAGGAGGGAAAGAGCACCACAGGCAGCCACTGACAGGGGGTGAGTAACTGTTCCTAAAAGAAAAACTATTCAGGGGCTGGCGCTGTGGCGTGGCGGGGTAAGTTGCTGCCTGTGATGCCAGCACCCTGTGAGCGCCTGCTGGAGTCCCGGCTGCTCCACTTCCCAGCTAATGCACCTGGGAAACCAGAGAAAGATGGTCCAAATACTTGGGACCCTGCCACCCACGTGGGAGCCCCCGGCTTCCGTCCTCCTGGCCCAGCCCCGGCAGTTGAGGCCATCTGGGGAGTGAACCAGTGGATGGAAGCTCTCTTTGTCTAACTCTGCCTTTCAAACAAATAAATCTTTAAAAAAAAAAAAAATTAAAGTAGGAAATTTAACAAGAGGGCTGGAAAACTCTTCTTACCTGGCCAGTCCCCACCGAACCTTTGGCTATTACTTGCCTGAGCAGTGCTTCCCTGGTCCTCACTAGCCTACGTGCTAGGCTCTGGCTGCCCTCCGCCTCGACCTCTGTATTGCCAGCGTTTATTTAAGTGGCCTGTGAGGGCTCGGCCTCCCCCACGCACAGGCTTCCTGCGTTCCAAACCAGTGGCACGGGCAGAACACAGTATCACCAGTTCACTCACTCGATATAAAACCACCGCTCCAAGTATTCCTCCCACACATCTCAAGTGAAGAGCAAGGCGACAGAAGTCACAAGCCACAAGAAAATGCAACTTCCCCAGACGGGCGGTGGGCGAGGGAAGCAGTACTCCTTCCTGGGCACGAGAGGGCGCCCGCGGCTCACGCCAGCACCAGGAGGCCTGGAGGAAGGGAGAGGCCGCCGACTCCACGCCGCTTGGCTCAGGAAAATTCAGTTCCAAGGCAGCTTCTGAGAACCCCCGAGGAGCCGGCAGTCTGTGCACGCACCCAACACGTCCAGCCTCTGGCTCGCTGAGCCGGGAGGAATCACAGAAAGCAGCCGTCCTCAGCCTCGCACGGCTGCGCCTGCTCTCTCACGGGTGCACTCACTCCCAGTCCTTCGGGTCCCACCCACACGCAGAGAAGCTGGGATCAGAAAGCACTTAACCCACCTCTGCCCCTGGCCCAAACCCGCATTCCTCCTCTGTCCGGAGCCAACCTCTAGCCTCAGCGCCCACCTTAGGCTCGTGGCCCCTACCTAGCTTACACGTGACCCAAATAAAAGCGAAAGCAAGCCAGTCAATTCTCCGTCTCAGCTCCTCGCCAAGCTCGCCTCCCGACAACCCTTCGGCCAATTCGCAGATCGCTTTTAACTGGCAGATCCCCTGGTTTCACTCCTTCATTTTCCCGTGAGATGAACAGGCCCCGGCGAGCCCATCAGACACCGCGAGGCAGGTATAATTACCATCGCCATTTTATGGATGTGAACACTGAGGCTCACTAGGGTCAAGTGCCACACCCAAGGCTGCCTAAACAGAGTCGTGGGTCTTGTTTCTGTGAACCTCATGGTGCCGGCACTCACGCCCCGCCAGACTCCAGGGCTACAGCCCAGGCCCCCCACAGCCTGGCCCAGTGCTGCCTCCAAGCCCGCTCTTGCTGGGTGCGCTGAGGGCGGACGGCCCTAGCTCAGAACTCGGGAAAGCCTGTCGCACTGGGGGCCTGGACCCTCTGTGGGTCAAGCTGCTTAGGCCAGGGTCGTCAGGGCCAGAGGCCTCGAGGGCGCTCGCCGTCAGGGGCCGCCCTCCGCCAGCCCTGTGGTGTCCGAAGCCCCTTCTCCGTCCGCTCCTTCCGGACACAGTCCCTAATGGGCACCGGGCAACCAAGCTCACCCCAAAGCCAAGGCCCAGGGGCTACTCCCGTGGGAGCGCGCCGGCCCCGGACAGGCAAGAGGGCCGGAAGCAGGCGAGGGCGCGGGGCCGTCAAAGGAAGAGGCGGCGCCGGAGGCCGCTATGGCGGAGGGGCGGGGCTCCCCGTTCCACCGCGGCCTCCGCCTCATTTCTCTCGGCCTCCGTTGACAGCTTCGCCTTCCCCCCAGAACTCCAGGGCTCCAAACCCGGCGCCGGGAGCTCAGCGTCACTCCGTCCCAACCTCCCCAGCGGGGCCAGAGCCGCAACACCTCCATCCGGGATCCGAGCGGCCTGCGCACGCGCGCTGGCTCCACCGACGGCAGCCCCGCCCCGCTCCTGCCCGGACTCCAAGCTGCCCCGCCTCCCGCCGAGGCGGCCATGTTGACTCCGAGCGAGCGGGGCGGGGAGCGCGGCACCTTCCCGCCGTGGTGACACCTGAAGAGTTCTCTCTCGCACCTCCCCCCGCCGTCAGTTCGTGCGCAGAGGCTGTGTCCCGGAGTCCATGTCCTGGCCCCAGTTCCACCCCTCAACCGTTCACTGAGCCGGGGCGCTTGTAGTTGGAGGCTGCCCTATGGCTTCGTCCCAGAAGGCAGAGTCGCGATTTCCCTGCTGTCGGGCTACAACAGCTCAGCATAGAACCTGGCAGCCGATGGGAGTTCTCTGGACAGTAAAAGAAAAGCCTTCTTGGGGTTTCTGCGGCCAGCGGCGGCACCCCGCGTCCTGGGCGCCAAGAAAGTGGGGGGATCCCCTGGACTTTCCCCTCGTCCAGCCGCCCGGGACCTTTCTGTCCTACTTGGGTCGTCAGCCCCATCTCCGGTGACTAAAGAGCGCGGCTGGGAAGCCTCAGAGAACACCCCCCAGGGCCCCTTTCTCCTCCTTCACGCAGGAAGTGGGGCCAAAAAAAAAAAAAAAAAAAAAACTAACTCAACAAAAGCGGCTGTTTGGGAGGAGCAGTCAGTTGGTACCCCTGTAACGGAAACTGTTAGAACGACTTTGCACCCTCCTTAAAGGAAACAGATAATAAATCCTTCCCCGTTGGTGGATTTCTTGTTTCTCGGGATTCCAGAGCCTTCTGTGGTTTCAGTTATCTGCCGGGGTCTGGGCGAGCCTCTGGCCCCAGCGAGCTGGCTGAGGGAGGGCCTTATCTGTGGCCACAGCCACTCCTGTGGGTGGGAACCGAGAGATCTCTCCAGGCTATCTCTCCAGGCAAGGAAAACCGGCCCACCTCGGTGCTGGGTGGGGGGCAGGGTCTGCCTTTCGGGTACTTTAGACCACATTTCGGGCGAGCCCTAAACTGCCTTCGGTCGGCGTTGTGTGGGGGGTGGGTTAAGCACAAACCACATTTTGGCCCTTGCCTGCGGGGAAGGGGAAGAAGGCAGGTTGGTGGGCGCTTCCCCCAGGTTTTCAGCGACAAGCTCGTGTTCGCAGCTCCAGAAACCTGTGCGTGAAACAGCCAGAGCCTGGGGCACACTTGCGCCTGGCGCCCACGGTTGTGATTCGGGATCTCTGGACGTGCAGGAGGCAGCAAGCAGCGGACTCTGCCAAGGCAGAACGGAGACAGGAGCTGCCCTTGTCCTGTGGATTCACGAGGGAAAAAGATACGCACCCCGGGGCTCCCTGTGTCCACACAAAATTCCTAACTAAATCTGTTTGCAAAAAGGCCAGGAGTCTGTCTGTGACAAGTCAGAATGTCTTCTAAAGTCCCGGGGGTCACCCTTCGGGGGAGAACGCGGCCAGGCCATCAGCCCCACTTCCCTACGCTTCTCCTTCCTCCCTTCTCTGCTTCCCAACCCCCTCCTCTTCCGCTCTGTTTCCTGTTTCATTTTCTGGCTCCTGCACCGACAGGAAAACAAGGAAGTGGAATCTTTTGCTCTCAAAGCCCTGGCTCCCGGCTCTGCAGGTTTTGAAGAGGGCGAGCTGGGCTGGGAAGGGGTCCCGGGCTCCAAGGCTGTGAGGAACTGGTGAAGGAAGCAGCTCTCCAGTGCGTTTTCATAGTCTGCGGCTAAAATGGAGCCGGCATCAACCAGGGAGCCAGCCGAGCTGCCCAGACTGAGACAAGCAGCACAGCTCTCCAGGCCAGGGCCCCAGAGGGGCTCTGGACCTGCCAGGCCTGCCCGTTAAGAGGCAAATACCCCACGTCACCGGGAAAATTCATAATAAAGTTGCTAACCTAAGCAGTGCATCACTGTTTATAAAAGTTTTTGTTAATTGGGGCCTGCACTGTACCTAGTAGGCTAAGCCTCGGCCTTTGGTGCTGACATCCCATATGGGCGCTGGTTTGTGTCCCAGCTGCTCCTCTTCTATCCAGCTCTCTGCTGATGTTCTGGGAGAGCAGTGGAAGATGGCCAAGTGCTTGGGCCCCTGCACCCACGTGGGAGACCTGGAGGAGGCTCCTGGCCTCGGATTAGCCCAGCTCCAGCCATTGTAGCCATTTGGGTAGTGAATCAGTGGATGGAAAACCTCTCTGTCTCTCCCTCTCTCTCTCTGTAACTCTGCCTCTCAAATAAATCCTTTTTTCTAAAGTTTTTGTTGATTTTATTTTATTTATTTTTATTATTTTTATTATTTTTATTTTATTTATTTTTATTATTTTTTTTTTTTTACAGGCAGAGTGGACAGTTAGAGAGAGAGAGAGACAGAGAGAAAGGTCTTCCTTTGCCGTTGGTTCACCCTCCAATGGCCACCGCGGCCGGCGCGCTGCGGCTGGCGCACCGCGCTGATCCGATGGCAGGAGCCAGGAGCCAGGTGTTTTTCCTGGTCTCCCATGGGGTGCAGGGCCCAAGCACCTGGGCCATCCTCCACTGCACTCCCTGGCCACAGCAGAGAGCTGGACTGGAAGAGGGGCAACCGGGACAGAATCCGGCGCCCCGACCGGGACTAGAACCCAGTGTGCCAGTGCCACAGGCAGAGGATTAGCCTATTGAGCCGCGGCGCCGGCTGTTAATTTTATTCTAAGAGAGATCTTCCATCCACTAGTTCCACAGCAGCCAAGACTGGGCCAGGCTGAAGCTAACAAACTGGAACTCTGGTTCTCCAACATGGGTGATACGGAACCAAGTACTGGAGCCCTCATCCGTTGTCTCCCAGGTGCATTAGCAGGAAGCTGGATTGGAAGTGGAGGTGGACTTTGAACTGGGCGCTCTGATATGGGGATGTGGGATCCCAAGCAGCAACTCAACCAATTTGCCAAACACCTGCCCCCCATCGTGATTTCTGGTATCCTTGAACTTGCCTGGCTCTGTTCTTGCTAGGTCTCATGCTTGAAATACTCTGCCTCCAGCCTGCCCTTTGACCAGCCTGCTCTATTCAAGTCTCAGGACAGATGCCGCCTCCTCAGAGAGGCTTTCCCTGACTACGACTTTCCCAGCCACAGCTGCGCCCCTGTATCATCCCATCACCCTGCTTCACAGCACTTAACACCACCTGCTTCCCTTGCCCGTAGACTGCTCGTTTCACTATTTCTTTCCTGGAATGTGGGTTCTGAATGTGACGGCAGAGCAGGGCCCTCATTCACCAGTGTATTCTCAGAGCTTCCAGCAGTGCCTTGCGCACTGTGTCTTCATGAAGGTCTGGGAAATCAATCAGTTTAACCTGATGTCCGTGTTTTATGGATGAGAATGACTAGCCTGAAGTCACGCAGCTGGTGGCAGAGACAGGGACTTGAATTCAGGTCCCCAGCCTCCCAGGCAGCTCCTTTCTACCACCCCAGTATTTGAAGCTTTCAGGGATTCACCCCGCCCCCTCTTGCCTCTTTCCACACAGCTAAGACCACGCTGAGAATCCTGTGTGGGGCACACTGCCTATCAACAGCCCCACCTACCCTTTCCTCCATCAAGTTCTGATCCTTCCTGTTTGATTTTTTTTAAAGATTTATTTATTTTTTTTGAAAGAGTTACACACAGACACACAGAGACAGACAGAGAGAGGTCTTCCATCTGCTGATTCACTCCCCAGTTGGCTACAATGGCCAGAGCTGCACCGATCTGAAGCCAGGAGCCAGGGACTTCTTCCAGGTCTCCCAGGCGGGTACAGGGGCTACACCACAGCAATGGCCCCTCCTGTTTGATTTAATTAACAATATGGCCATGCTTACCGCACAACAGGATGAGGTGGTTCCATGGAACAAGACAGACCCAGCCCACGTGGAGATCACGATACCCACCTCGTTAGAGTTACAGAGCTCGGCACAACGTGCTGCGCACGCAGAGACGGGCGTGGTAACTGCCTGAACAAAACCGGAGTGGGAGATGCTCCTGCCGGAGGTGTAGGGGAGAAGTTGGGTAGTTTTCCCAGAGCACGCACCTCCTTGGAGCAATCTGACAGCTCGCTTCTCTCTGCAGCTGCTTTGCCTGGGCCCTGCCTCCACATGTGGACGTGGCCTTGGCCCAGGCTGGGCAGAGAGAGACAGCCCAGTAGATCGTCAGTTTTGCAGTTTCCAGATACTAAACTCTCCATGACCCCAATGCCATGGGCTAGAGTAGCTCACCCTGACCTGGAACATTGCTCTGAGGCCATAGCATTGTGGAGCAAAAGTGACCACACTGGCTTTTTTTTTTTTTCCTTATTTAGCATTTATTTATTTATTTGAGAGGCAGAGTTAAAGAGAGAGAGAGGGAGAGACAGAGAGAAAGGTCTTCCATCTGCTGGTTCACCCCCAAAATGGCCGCAACAGCTGGAGCTGGGCCAATCCAAAGCCAGGATCAGGAGCTTCTTCCAGGTCTCCCACTGGGTGGGACTTGGGTCATCTTCTACTGCTTTCTCAGACCATAGCAGAGAGCTGGATTGGAAGTGGAGCAGCCAGGACTTGAACCGGTGTCCACATGGGATGCCAGTGCTGCAGGCAGCAGCTTTACCCACAATGCCATAGCACCGGACCCCACACTGACCTTTGGTTCCTGTAATTATCAGCTGTTCGCAGGCAGAGCTGATGCCCGTGATGACTGGCAGGTATGCCTTACCAGAACTTTACTTGTTTTTGTTGGGAATAAATGGACACTCCAGGGCAGTTTCTAAGAAAGCTGAATGATATTTATATCCATCCTGAAACCTGAGGTGACGTTAATCAGATTGGAGATGTTCACCAGAACCATCCTTGTTGGCCTCTGACGTCCATCTGTCCCCGGACTGAGAGGCTGTCCTGTCCAATTGATCCTTTATAACCCACGGGCACCTGTAACCCTTCCTTTAGTGTTTGCCGTTCAGGGCTTAAAAAACCTCGACTCCACCGAGAGGCCCAGTGGGAAGGCCTTGGTCACTTGGGGGTGGCAGTGACTACAAGGCAAAAACAGCCAATGAGGTTGAGAGTATTGTTTAGGCTGGACTTGGCTGCTGTTCAGCTGTGAAAGAAGGTTAAGGTCATTTGGAGTGGTGGGGAGGGAGGAGCCTGGGAAAAGAACTGGCCACACCCCTGAGTTCTCTACTGGAGAGGTTCTATTTACTTCTCAAAAGCGAATTACTCACAGCTCAGTGGCCAGGCGTTCTCCTGGCCCCTGGTAACTCCAGTCAGTAACTGGAGACCAGGCTGGGCTCCGCCTGCATTGCAGGAGAGCCTAAGAAAGGAACCCAGGAAACCGAGCTCCTAGGTAATGCTCTCCACGCTGCCTGGAAATGCATTTTCTAGACCAGAAAATGGAGCTCAAAAGGCCCAGGGCAAAAATGGCCATAGGCAATACTAGGCAATACTGCTTAGCCAAGTGTAGATAGGAAAAGCTTCCCATTTCGTTTTTTTTTTTTTTTTTTTTTTCCCTAAAGAGTCCTAGGAAAGTGTCTTGGTTCACAGAGGGTTTTCTGTCTCAACAGAGAAGTAGTAATTATTCATTCCTGTCTCTTGCCCAAATATGAATGGCCATACTTACTTTGATGAACACTTGATTGAAATTCTTGGGACAATTTCACCTCATGCCAAATACCACAGAAGCCAATCTTGTTTGATGAGCTCGGCGGCCGCATTGCTGTCCCGTCCCGAGAGCAGGTGCCCTGGGATGAGCGTGGGCCTCAGGTCAGGTGGGCCTTGCTTCGTGTATGGGCTGGAGCAGACCTCTCCCTTCTCGGCCTCTTTCCTCATCTGTCAAGTGGGAGCAGGCGCACTGGGCTCCCGGGCACGGGGCCGC